GGGGGGGGGGGGGGGGGGGGGGGGGTACTCATTTGTTGCTTGCCGTAGTCATTTGACCATTGACCACGCGTCCCTTTCGAGACGGAGCACCGTTCCTACCCCTACTAGAGACACCACCAACATTTGGGAGCTCTTTACGTTTCTGCCACAAACTCCATAAAAATTTCTTGCACATCTTATCCCCGTCCTCTAGGGCCTCTTGTGCCCACCATCTATCCCCAATTATCGCGATCGTTTTTTCGCTGTTGTCTAATTTACCAAACTTGTCCATGTCACACCCTCTCTGTCTCATTTCCTCCTCGAGATCCTCTCTTTCCTTCCTGTACAACTCACACTCCCCAACTATGTGGGGTCTACTCTCCTCCGATTTGCCACATGGACATGTGTGTCTATCCTCCTCTTCCTCACTCCTACGGCTGGTATACCTCTTCCTCCGTTCTGGCAAGTCCAGATCGCCTACTCGAAATTGCAATTTCAGCTTTTTCGCGTAGTCCATGGGGCCGTCCAAGTACGTCTTCATCCTTATCCCTTCTTTCAACTTCCCGTATATCTCCAAGTGGTCTTCGCTTCGTACCTTCTTCCGAAGGGTTGCCTCCTCCCTACTTTCTAGCATCTCCTTAACTTTCGTCTTGAACCCCCCGAACCCTTCCGTGTCCAACGTCTCCTCCTCGTCTCCTATCTCCTTCCAAACCTTCTCTACCACCTTGTCCCATCGGGGGGGGGGGGGGGGGGGGGGGAAACCCCCCCCTGTTGGGTTCCTTTTTCTGGGGGGGATTTTTCCGGGGGGGGGTTTTGGGGGTTTCTTTCCGGGCCAAAAGGGTTTGAAAAAAAAGGGAACCCCCCCCCCCCCCCTGGGGAAAACGAAACCCCCCGGGGGGAAAGGGGGTTTTTTTTCCCCCCAACCCCCCGGGAAAACTAAATCCCCCCCAAAAAAAGGGTTTTTTTTTTTCCCCGGGCCCCCCCAAAAAAAAAAAGGGATAAAAAAACTTCCCCCCCCCTTTTTTCAGGGGATTAAAATTAAGGGAAAACCCCCCCCCCCGGAAAAAAGGGGAAGGGCAAACCCTAAAAAACCAAACCCCCCGTTTTCCCTTTCCCCCCGGCCCCCCCCCGGGGGGGGGCGAAAACCCCAAAAGGGGAAAACGGGGGTTTTCCCCCCAAAAATTGGGAGACAAAAAAAAAACCGAGGTTTCCCCCCCCAAAATTCTCCCCCACCACCCCCCCAAAAAAAAAAAAAAACCCCCCCCCTTGGTTTGGGGTAAAAAAAAA